TAGTACTGTTACTAAGAATAAAAGTAGAATGGGATCGGTGAAAAGTTACACGAATGGACTATTTCTAAATAAACTATGGAAATATCTGAAGTACATGGTTGTTAATCGAACATGTTTTAAATATTTTTTACAAAGTTACATTTATCAAAGAATATCTTGTCAAAAATGTTTATTTCCTTAAAAATATTATAATAGTGTTGAAAAATAGTATGACATTATGTGCTCTTATTGATGTTACAAAATAAAATATATTAATTGATTGTCATAATATTTCACATTTTGGACAATTTTTAGATTTGCGAGGAGTTTCGATTTCATCATTCATTTCCTTTTGATCGACTGACGGCATTGTTATGGAATCAACAGTAGTTGACGATGATGGTTCAATAAAAGACTCACGTAAGTCAGAATGGACTATGATAGTAATCGATTGTTCATCATGGACGATTTCCTCAGCTGGTGCCGTACTGTTAATGCATTCCTGTTGTTCACCATTCAATTTGGCAACATCACTCTCAACTAGTTTCACATATTCGTGATCCACTCCATAAGTAGCTCGATAAATTGAAAGACTTTCATTGAAATAGTGGAGTGCATTTGATTTATTGTTTGTGTTTTGATAACAAATACCGATTAATTGATTGACGTAGGCAACATCCAAATGATTACATGACAAGAATATATGGTGCAAATGTAAGGCTTCGAGAAGGTATTGTAATGCAATATCAAATGATTTATGCATCCCATAGAGACGACCCATAGCTGCAAGACATTCGGCCATTGTTCGATGATCAATCTGAGTTGATTTTTGAAGATAAGAAAGAGCTTCTTGATAATATCGAACTGCTTTATTTAGACTTTTTTCTTCGATTATTGTAGCCATATTCATCAATGTTTTCGCAATACGAGAATGATTATTACCAGGAATAGTTCTTTGAAGATCAAGTTTTTGACAACAAAATTCTAAAGCTTGATCGACTTTCTCGTACTTCTTATATGTGATGACGATTTTTTTGAGATCTCTGGAAAGATGAGGATGATCAGATGGTAAACAGCGTTCATCCATGTCCAATTCTTTGTGATAATAATCGAGCGCTTTTTCAAAATCATTCTTTTTCTCATAAACGGATCCAATATCACCAAGACAGGTACTAATTTTGGGATGTTGCTCGGGCAAAATATGCTCAAGCATATCAAGTGCACGAGACAAGCAATCGAGAGCAGTATCTAGATCGCCTTTTTCTATCAATGTGTTGCCAATATTTTGAATAATAATCGCTTTTTGTAGATTATCATCTGGATGGTTCTCTTCTTCAATCGTTAACGCTTCTCGATACTTATTGAGTGCTTGATCGAAGTCTCCTTTATCCCTCATTATATTCGCAATATTATGAAGTGACCTAGCTATGTGGGAAGGATTAGAATGTAATCGTTCTCGCCACAGCTTGTAGGCCATTTCATAATTAGCTAATGCTAAATCTAATTCATTTCTTTCAGAATATACGCGTCCTATTCCGTTATATACTGATGGAATATCTGGATGATCTGATGGAAGTGATCGAAGTAACATTTGAAAATATTTTTCTGCTTGATTAACTTGACCTAGTTCATTGAGAAGTAGCCAACCGAAATAAACAATAGGTGAACTATATTCCATTTGTTGTTTTATGCATGAGAGATATTGTTCAACATTGTCAGTGCCTTCATCAGTTGTTTTCAATTGTATTTTCCAAAGTTGAAAAGTTGAATCAAAATTAACTGAAACAATTTTGAAAAGAGAATTGAGATTGAAAATAATTTCTTGTTCATGTTTAAAATGGCCTCTATGGCTAATATCAGCCCAGATGACATTTTCGAGTGACGAGTCAATTTCAACTTCCAAAAGAATCGATCGCATATCATTCGATATCATACATGAACGAGCAAATTTAAGAGAGGTCTCTATGTTGCATGAAGTTGAAAAGAAACTATTTATTGATATAATAGTACCAATATTATTTTTCCATCTGTCTAATTCTTCGACTGATATCTGCTGTCCACGAAATGTTTTAAAAACACCATTTGTTTTCAATTTAAAATGTTCTTGTTCAATCTCAGCACACATATCAATGATAAAGAATCGAAATGCATAGATAAATTCGATATCTTCAGTACGAAGAGCTCTGTTTAACAATTTATACAGAAAACATTCATCTGTATACCATTCGATTGCTTGCTTCGAGCAATAATGGTTCCGAAAGTGTTCAATTTTCTTTAATTCATTTTCATTATTTTGATAATACTCTAGACATTTGTCAAGCATATCTTTTTAGATTGTTCGTCTTGAGGCATTTGTTTGAGAATATATAGAATCATTTGATGCCACAAAAATGATGCTGATTCTTTAGATAAAACTCGTGATGATTTTTGTTGTTGATTGAATAAACTGAAATTTAGTACTTGCTTTTCGAGAACATTGATTGTTTGACGAATCGATTTCAATAGACTTTCTTGATCAACAAATATTTCAATAATTTTTTTATAGTCATTCTTCAATGATATATGACGTTGAGCATCAGCACAAAAAATAAAAATAACGACAACTGATCGTAAATGATGAATTTTTGGAAGAACACTTCGACTCAACGAGCCCGAAATAACCAATAGGACTTGTTCATCTTTGATCCAACTGATTACATCAATACATCGATTAGCATCGGTGAAAAATTGAGCAAATGGATTCAGATTTAATAACATTGTTTGTGTTTTAATTGAGTCATCAGAATCATTTATATTTTCATCGAGCCATATTAATCGAAATTCTTCTTTATTTTCATCTAATTTGTTAGGAGGACGGTTTCGACGATATTTTGTCATCTAGAAGTAAAGTAGTCTCATACTTGTTTCGATCTCCTCAATGCAATAAACATTAATGAAAAAAAGTAATCATTTTTAAGCACATTGTTTTTCTGAAATCCTACAATTTTATATCGTCGCTTTTTTTAGCAACCATGTCGCATTTCAATCATAACTACGACGCATTTACAGCGTAGCTACGTCGTAATTCGATTGTAATCGAAAACATGGGATAACCATTATTTCAGTTATTCATTTATTTATTTTTCCACATATAGCTGCATCACTACAAGCATCAACATAGAAACTAAGTATCACCATTGAGATTATTCAACGCCAGAAAGAAAATGGATAAGAGGTTAAAAATTTTTTTTTCCTTTCTTGTTTCTTTTCATTACTTTTTATTTCGCTGTTAGTCACAAGGGAAGAAAAATATATTGAAATACATTGAAAAATAAACACACGTTTTTTACATCTTTGAGATTTACGGTCTTTACATTGATATTATTTTTTATGGCAAGTAGTTGAGAGAATAGAGTATATTTTTCTACAAGCAAAATTAAGATATGATATGTGTTGCAGAAGAATAAAGGAATACTTCTACATGATGTACATCGAAAGAGCTTTCTAACCATGTGTTAGAATGTTTTTAATTATTTATTGCCTTTGAATCACTTGTACATGTTTGAATGATATTCAAATTTAGTCCGTAAAAATAACTCAAAATGGCAGCTGTTACAAAAGAAAGTATTTTTTTAAATAGCTTTCGGTCTTCTCCTTTTCAATTTGTTCAATAGTATGGATTCTTTTTTCTCATTAAATTCTTCGTTTGATTCTCTACAAGCTGAGCAAAAAAAACAAAGATCTACGAAATCTTGCCCAAATTGAATATGCAAATGGTGATGGTTCTATGAAAGTTTTTCGACATTTGAATTTCATCATTTCATTACAATATAATAGATGTGTCAAAACCTACAGATTATCAATAATTAGTAAGAATAATTGCGATCATCCTGAAAATGAGCAAAACATGAAACAATACGAAATGAATATCTTCTTGAACTATGGCAAAGGTATTTTCCTTGACACACCCCATTTTAATGTGATTCGAACATGTATTTGTTACTCAAAGACAACATGTGATCAAAATATTTTGAACACAGGGTGTGAATGAGTCTCTCAGTTGGTATCCTTGAGAATGATTTCCCTTCACACTTGTATCCATATTCATACCCATCACTTACACACCCTGTTGTACATTGTGACTCATTATTAATAAGCCATGACAATGCCGTTCTGCAAAATTGTGAAAATTTCTCGAATTCATTATGAGAAACTATTCGTAAGTTCAATTGTTTATTAGTAATAAATCACATGTTCAACGAGCTTTCATTTCATATGATTACTCATTGTTCATGCTTTTTAAGATTAGACTGCTCGTTCCTGGAAAAGTACATAACATCTTACCATTATAGGGTCCTCTACTGACGTTGTCAAAACACATTTCTGTAAATTGTAAAGAGGTCACGTCTGTTACTGCTTACAATATAAGATATTGTTTCTCACAAAATGCATAGAGAGTTCTATAATTTTGTGATACTTCCATTATCTATTACGCTCGATAAGTGATACCATAAATAAGCCATTTTCTTATGAGTCACATGATAGCTCAATTTTCTTGTTAAAATCACTTGCGAAGAAAAAAACGCACAGTATAAACTCTCGATTTTTTTTCTGCATTCTGTTCATCTCTTGTTAGCAACGTACACCGCGTGCGCAGTTGTAAAAAAAATAAATCACAATTTTTTGCTTGTCATGATTATAAAATACACAAAACAAACAGAAATTTCATAATAATTCACAAGAAAAGTCTATTAATGTCACTCTTTCACACCATCGAACCTAAAGATATTTGGTTTGGAGATCATTTGTACATCTGGTCTTCACCGTTACATCAACATCATGGTATTGTTTTATTTGTTAATAGCCAAGATTACGACGAATCAGAAGTCTTGGAGTTTAATACGTATGACGGAAGTAACAAACCCGCTCATGCTGTTGTTCAAAAGGTTTCACTTAAACATTTTCGAAAAAATTGCACATTGAAACGTGTTGTATATGGTTCCAAATATGCTCGTTTTAAATTAGCTGGCACTGCCTATAAATTTCAATCACTTCAGCCGGAATTTGTAGTTGATAACGCTCAGCATATTCTTGAACAGGTTAAATTTGGAGAATGTCTTATCATTCCAACTGATTTAACATTATCGGCATCATCATCTTCACACTATGATCTGCTTTTACGCAATTGTGAATGCTTAGCTTTCTGGTGCAAGACGGGTATGTGGTACAGTGAACAATTAGAGAAAGTGGTTGATTGGATTGCGACACCATTAGTGACCTTTCTCAAAGCCGTCAGTGATTACTTGATTACCAAGCAAATTATACCTGCACTTGGTCAAGAAGCAATGAGTGAAGTAATTGAAAGCTCATTATGTATTCTTAAAGACAAATTTTGTTTGACACTTCTTGCAGAAGGTATTGGCAATGCAATCGCTTTTGTTATTGTTGAATTAGTGAAACTTATATTTCGTTTAATACAATACAAAGACGGACAAATGACAGAAGAAGAATTCTTGAACAAAACAATTACAAGTCTTGTCAAAGGTTTTACCGTTGGTTTTTTTGCGTTCGCCATTCAAGCATTGCTAACTTATTTTACATTCGGTACTGCAGCTCTATGTCCTTGGATTGGTGGATTTGTTGGTAGTGTTATTGGATCTTTTGTTGGAAATATCCTCGGTCGTTTTGTAGTCAGTGGACTCGCACAATTGCGCGATAAACAGCTGTCGATCATTGATTAAACATGTTCAGTATCGTATGTTATATCAGAGATGTCCATCGCGGCTGAAAATCTGCCGCTGCCGCGCCGCGACGGTTTATAAAAAAATGTTGCCGCGACGCTGCCGCACCGCGATGACTTATAAAAGAAACGCTGCCGCGCCGCTGCCGCGATGAATTATAAAATAAACGTGCCGCCACCACGCCGCTGCCGCGACGGTTTTCAAAAAAGTGTTTCTAATTTCACTGCTGTGACTATATTTGATCAGAGATATGGGTACTAGTCCATCAGATTTATTCAATATCAGGGCGTTTCATTTGTAAATCCTGAAATTCTATTAAATTCATACAGTTTTTCAATGTTCTCCAAAAAAACCCTGCCGCTGCCGCGCCGCTGCCGCGATGGTTTTTTAAAAAACCTGCCGCTACCGCGCCGCTGCCGCGATGACTTTTTAAAAAATCTGCCGCTACCGCGCCGCTGCCGCGGTGATTTTTTAAAAAAGCCTGCCGCTCCCGCGCCGCCACCGCCATCGCGGCAGCGGCGCGGCAGCGGCAGCGGCAGCGGCAGCGCCGCGATGGACATCTCTGTGTTATATGATGTTGTGAAAACCGCGGTGATTTTAGTGATTTTCACAACGATTGACCTATAAGCGTGCTTAATCATAATGGTTGGAAAACGCAATGATTCATTGCAACTAATCGGAGCTCTTTTCCACTCAGATGCATATTTTTTTATAAGCAATGAAAAATCTGTGATAATTACACATATTTGACATCAGCAGGATACCTTTGCTTTGATTGGACGATCATTATAAAAACTAATGTTTCACTCATCCTTGGTATTCATTAACAGACCATCTTTGAATGTTTACTACGACTTTCATAAAAGGCTTCGTCTAACTTCATATATATATATATATATTTTTTTTCTTTCTATTACAATTAATTAACTTATTATTAGTGATGGGCCGTACGAGGTTCGTAAGAAACAAAATGTTACGAAAGAAAATACGAAGTTACGAAAGAGTTTGGTAGATCGCGGTAGGGGCCTATTTTTACATAGGTTTCATAACTATCGTTTCATTTACGTGACTTTTCTCAAATTTTTAAATTTCTGGACGGTCCATCACTACGAGTGACGCTTATTCATTTGATATACAATTGAAATTAACCGAAGAAAAGTGACTTGACTACTCTGAAGTGTCTTTAAGTCTAGATTAGTCTAATGTCTTTAAATATACCATTTTGTTTGAATTTGGTCGTACGAGAATGAAGAAGTGGTCAAATATCATGTAAAGACTTTTTGAATATCTGTATTATCTTTTACAAAAGTTATGGATTATCAGATGCATTTAGAATGTGGACGAGATAATAGAATAATGATTGTTGTGCTATTGTTTCAATAGTAAGCGTCAACTGATATTAAAGAGATAAATTAAAATAGACACTTTAAAATTGTACAGAGTCTTGAAACAGAGATCTACTCAAGACCTAAACTCAAACTCACACAATATCATACTATTGATTCCTACATTTTTACTAATATATATGTCCACTATTATTGGTTTTACTGGTTTTTCTCGGACTAAAATAACAATAAGAAGAGCTCTTTAACATTAAGAATGATGTCAAGAGTTGACAACATATTGAACGCGTCCATGTTTTTATATATTCGATCATATTCTCTGTAGAAGTTTGCAATTTGTCTGCTTCATATCAGAAGATAAATCTTAGCTATTCTTCGACGACTAAAGATTTGTACTGTTTTACAGCAAAAGTATATTGATACATTGATGCACAAACAAGTGCATGAAAATACAAAGTATGCAAATTACTTCTCATCTAATATCTTTATAAGATAATTACATTTTACTACGTAGTTTACAGAGACTCTTGGGTAAGAGTGCTTAGTTTCATTTAATATTTACTCTCATACTTCCACTTAATTTCATGATATTCTATTAAATATTTATTTTTGTTTTATTTTTCGATTTATTTCAAAATAGAAGACTAAGAATTTCTTTTTGGTTGTTACAAATGTGTCTAGGCGAGAAGAATCGAATAATTTTGAAAAACGTTTTATTTCATTTTTATTTATCGCCATTCACTCTTGCTTTACAGTCGATATATATAAAGGTGATATTTGGCTTATTGATCCATGAAAACCGATGGCCATAAGTGCAACATGAGTTTTTATTTTTCATTCAAAGAAAATTTATCTCATTATTTTGTTTTAAAACAAAATGAAGCGAGATATATCAGCTCGTGGGTGTGCGTGCGGGTTTTACTTTTTACTACACCCACACCCACATCCAAAATTGAAAAATTGCGTATGTTCTCATTTCGTGCCACAGTTATCGTTTTCATCTATTGTTTATTTCAATATTTTCTTTCATTCGAATATTTATTCAAGGAAAAATTTTTCAGCAGCAGATTCTAGTTTGAATTTCATCCAACTTCTTCTACTTTACAAACAAAAATAACTGTTCATACGAATTGAGATTTCTGTGTTGACGTCATATCATTTCTATCCAGGAATTACAAAAAAAATGCAGGGTTGCTGGGTGCAAATAGCAACACGAGACAAAAATAAATTGGATTATCTTGCTTTCACACTAATCAATCGATCGATTATTAGATTATACATGCGCAAATATTTTGAGTGTTGAGTTTTGTTGAGAAGTAGACCCTGAACGACTTTTCGTTGGCATGTTGTGAAAGGATCCGTCATCGTATTGGTCATAGACCCGTCACAAACCATCAAACATTCATCGTCCTCGTCGTAATCAACATTCTCAGGACAGAAACGTGTTTCTTGGGTTTCTGTGAAGTTAAAAGCAGCCACAATTGTGGTATCTCCCAAATACACTCTTCAACTTTTCAAACATTTGGAGTATTTGTAACGCTTGGAATAGTGAACCAGGTGACGTAAACCCTTGAAGATGTTTCGCTGGTGCACAAATGGAAGCCACGTATTTACTTTTCAAGCAATCGTTCGTATTATTCATTACCGTTTGCGCCATGTATATTTTTTTCTTGACAGAGGTACAACAAGCTCTCGTGGCATTGCAATACAAAGTAAGAGTTTTCTTTGTCAAAGGTGATAGGTTCGACACAAATTGTTTAAAACGATTTTTTAACTGAAGCAAATCTTGTTCAATCTTTTTATTTACTGGAGCTTTTTTGCTGGAACTCTTCTGACTAGTAGAACCAGTCGAAAGACAGTAAAGAATAGCCATGCAGAGAAGAAGGCCGACACGCATTTTGGTTTGATCTAAAACAGACAAACAGAGAATATTCACCATGATGATATTCTTCGCATATGTAATGTGTGCTATGGTGGAGAGATAAAATATGATGGATAAGATTCAAACTTTGTCTGTTTCATAAAACAGCAATTCTCTTGATATTCGAAGTTGATTTTGTCAACACCATAATATAGATATTGGTGGCATGTGGTCGGCTGACATGTATGTGCGGAAAAATAACAATGAAAGATACTATTGATGATAGGTCCCGAATTGCAAGAGATGTGTGGTGTGATGTTTATTTTCATGGTAATTGGATGAGATGAGTTTTTGACACATTACTACTATCAGTTCTATCGGGGAGCGCAAAAAGAGTTGCACTCTCGCTATTTTGACTTTGTTTCTCATTCATGCAATCAATCGAAGAACCACTTTTTTACCAAAACATTATTCGTGAAGTTCTCTACAAAAAACACAGCGACTTCTATGCAATGAAACGATGATTTGAAAAATGACACAAATGATAATTTTGACTATAAAAATATGCAAAAAATAATTCAAAAATATTAGATTTTCATTGGTAGCATGTGCCAAATATTTGAGAAATGGAAACATTAAGATAGTGATCATAAAAGTGCAGTGTTTTATCCAGGTTTTTTTTCTCCGGAGGGGCGATTTGAAATTCTGGGAGGGCGAAAAATTTTTTCGAGAGGGCAAGCCATATTGTTCGTCGCGTGATGATCGCGAGTCTTCGGAGGAGGGGGCGCCCCCACCGGGCATCTCTCTGGATAAAACACTGTATAAGTGTTGAAAAGCTCTGTTGGTCGCGTCAAATTTCGGAAAAATTTATTGCAATTTGATATTGTACGACCTCCATCATATTTTGTCGACTTTCCTTAGAAAAATGATAATGTTTTTGACAAAGATTTGTGTGTTGAAAGAAAAAGCAAAAATGCTTCATCAGAATGTTCGCTTTGCATTTGAAAATATATTTCGAACAAATGCGTTTGTCTTGTTTTCTTTTACTAAGACGAAAATCTTTGTCTACACAGTCAACATATGTTTGTTTTCTAAAAGATAGCCTTTTATTAAGATCGTACGCATATGGACACTGCCGTTGGTGGCAGAGAAAATGTAAAACATTGTCATAGACAAACTTAAACAGAAATTTTACACCTATGAAAGTAAAATAAACTCTCTCACACTAGAAATGCAATGGATTACATCGATCGGCAAGACAATAAACGTACACTAATCAAATCTGTTTCTGGCTCAATTAATGAAGTCATTTTAATATTGAATTCAATCGGTAGAAATAAATTGATATTCGAAAGTAATATATACACGGTATTACAAGCACAATTCACTTTGGCGTTACAGCCGATTGTTAGTCGTAATATTAGTTCGATTTACTCAGCAGAGATTAGTGTTGGTGTCGAATGCCCGCAATGACATTTGAACTGTGGGTAGATGGATGCGGAGTGTGGACTGTGGGTGTGGAATGTGGGTGTGGTTGCGGGTGTGGCTGTGAGTGGGTGTGTGGGTGTGAGAGTGTGGGTGTGGATGGATGTGAGTGTAGATGGACTGCGGGTGTGGGTTGGCCGTGGGTGTGCGTGTATAGATCTCTTCAACCACACCCACACCCACAACCATACTCACACCCACTCCACCCACACTCACAACCACACTCACACCCATCCCACCCACAACTACACTCACACTCACACCCACCCCACTCACATCCACACACCCACACTCATACCCATACACCCACACCCTATGATGGTCGAACAGAATATTTTATCGTAAGAAATTATTGGAGTCGTGATTGGCTAAGATCTTTTTTTTACCAATGTGTATAGTTTTTACTAGAAAAAAAAATGTCGATTTTATCTTTGAGGGCATCGATGGCTATCTCTACATGTCATACAAGCATTTATTAGAAAAAGATTTGGTGAATGAGGAGGATGGTGGTTGGGTAATTAATCATATATCATTTTCTACGGAACATGGGTTGGCGACGCCACAAAATACATCGACTGATCAAAAATATATAAATCACCATTAGCAAAGCGTAAAATCATTTTGAATTGAAGTACTTCGTGCAAAGACATTCGCTTTAAAATAAAATATCTATCATATCGCATCTATGAAAAATAACAATGATGACTAAATTGTACATTTTAATCTCGAACAGTATAATAATACTCTGATTCAGACAAAAGCCTAGTTTATTCGACCTATAAACGTAGTAAAATCTTTCATGCGCCAATTAAAATAGTATTGCTTTTTATTTAATTTCCTCTGAAACTCAACGCTACTGACTAGTGCAAACCAAATGATTTCACGACCTTTAATTACAAACATTAATGGAATGACTTCATTTAGAACTCAATATTAAGGGTCAGTTAATCAAGTAAAGTTTAGGGTGTGGATGTGGGCGTAGGTAGGAATGTACCGCTTTCATATGGCAATAGCTAGACCACACCCATACCCCAAAATAAGCAATGTTGCAATCATTTTATAACTGGTGATATAACGTTTGTTGGCTAAATCATTACATCTAATATCTAACGAGCGAACAAAAACTGTACTTATCAAAATGATCTAGTCAAATAGTTATATGCAAGAAAGAGGAACATTCCTTATCTTCATCGTATGTGCGACCAGTGGGAGTTCACTGTCTCCAAAAAGGAATATAAGTGCATGGAGAATTAAAAAACACAAATAGGACTACGAGTCTCTAGACAAAATGATCACTGGAATTACATTTCTCTTTTCAATTCATTGATGCATGTTGATTATGTGAACTTTGTTCTACTATGAGAATAGAATGAAAGAAGAAATGAATTCCAAGGTCAGTGTTTCCTTATCTTGTCAACTTTCACCTCATTGCTAGCATAATTCTGTAAAGAATGATGATTCATTTCTTTCTAAGCATAAAGATAATAGGTCAATCATCTATGGCATGGTAAATATCTTTTGAAAATATTCCGCGAAATACAACACGGAAAGCTTTTTCGAACAATATTGACGTAACGAAATATCAGAAGTCTTCATCTCTTCTCTTCAATATACTGAAAATAAAATGTTAGTTTTTTTTGTGCTTCATATTCTTTTTATTCGATGAAATAAAAATTACACAACATATACATTACCTAAAGAATACAAAAAGAAATCTTTTATCAAACGCGTGGTTTCATCATATAGATAAGTGAGAACGACTTTATGTAAAAAATGGTTATTTATTCGTAGTTAGCATTCAAATTTTGGCTTATTACATTTTTTATTTTGTAGACTAGTATAACACTTGACATCGCTAGATAATTGCTTCAATATGGGAAACCTATTGAATTGGTTTAAGACTTTAGAAATATTTGTAAGTAGCCGTCGAGAGAAACAATATGCTGCTCATCGTTCCGAACCAGACCATCCCGAACGTATTTCTCCGGATAAATTAGCAAATATCAACAAAATTGAAGAGCAATCTGAATCTTCATCAATCTCCATAGAAACAACAGCACCACCACCAACAACCGTGGCATCATCTAATCAATTGAGTGATTTTTATTTAGCATGTCGCAATAATAATATTGAAGAAGTTCAAAGATTACTTGGCACTATAGAAATGAATGATGTTGACAGAATCGAACCAAATGGTAGTACGGCATTACATGCTGCATGTTTTCATGGTCATCAAGAAATTGTTGATTTATTATTGAAACAAGGAGCAAACAGAGCTATTCAAAATAAATATGGATGTTTACCATTTGATGAAGCAAAGACCGCCGAAATCAAACAGCTTTTCTATCGTATACCGAATTGTAATCGATTCATATCAGATATAGGTACCATTGAGTGGGAAATTATTGATGATGATGTTGTACTAGATGCTGCACACATGCGACATACGCTTAAATCTACCTTTGACAACACTAGTGGATTGACATCAATTGAGACAATGTTTGAAAAAATTGAAAAGAAATATATTGCCAAAGGTTTAGTTAATTTTCATGGGATCCAAGATATCAAACGCTTCTTTCGAAAAGCAACTGAAGAACAAGATCCAATATGGATCATTACAGCTTATACAGCTGAAACTGATTTTTATAAAATTCTCAATCGAGAAATAGCAGGTGGTTCTACACAATATCAAAATGAGCGCCAATTTATTATAGCATTATTATTATTCCATCCGAAATTGGATCATTTATCTTATACTGGTACATCATATAGAGTGATGCAAATGAATGAAGATAATATAAAAAAGTATGAAGTGAATTGTTTATTAATGACCAAATCATTTGTATCATCAGCCATTGATGAACAAATTGCTCTATGGTTTTTAAGTCGACAAGAATTAGCAAGAAAAGATAGTGGTCAAGGAAACCGCTTTAATCTTGATGGAAAAATAATAAAAAAATGGATTATGTGCAAATATCAAATTAAACGACGACGAAGTGCTTTGCATATTGAAAATTCATCTCAATATGCTAATGAAGGTGAAATATTAATTATGCCATACACCGTTTTTCGAGTCAAGAAAGTCGCAGAAGTTAAAGTTCCAAATATGAATGATGAACATTTGATCACTGAAATTCAACTAGAAGAATATGAGTAGCCCATGCCGTTTTTTTCTTGTCAAAACCGCTAGTAATCGGCGGTTCGGTAAAAAACCGCCGGTTGAAACGGTTTATGCTGTTTTAAGGCCTTTTCTGTAAATACTTTTAATAAAATTATTTTACCTATCTGCGAAAGCTCTATATTTATTAAAAAAAACTTGATTTTAATATAATACAGTATACTATGTTAGATGGTGCTGCAATTTTCTCATTGATTAGATCATCTCACTAATCAATACTTTTTGTGGTGTCATCTTTATTTAATAATCAAACTCGAAAACTAAGCTAAAACAATGGATGTGACTGTCTCAGATGGCTTGAGCGTGTGGATAAATAAGAAGAACGTGACTTCGAACAAAATTTGACATTTTTCTAAGAGTTTAAAAAATTTATAGATTAGATTTTTTAAGAAATTGAAGCATAAAAACAGTGGTTAACCGCCAAGCTTTGACTGATTTGAAGCACATGGGGGTATTCATTTCAAATAGAAAGGGATGAGTATGTTTTTTATCGATCATGATACTTATGGAGAATCTCGAAAGAGAAAATGTAGGAACAATAACGCTTTCTTAGATTGTGAACGCCATCTATTCAACCATGGTGAGATCAATCGACTAGCTTATATTGATGAACTTTCTCTATTTATCGCATTGAAGAAGGATGTGAGGTGTGGGTGTGGGTGGTAATGTGCAGGGAAAAGCATCTACACTCACATCCACATCCTGTAAAATATATATACTTTAATCGTATTTCGTTGAGACTAAATGGCAAAATTTTTAATCAACTTTCTTATGTTTTCATCCATTATAAGCATTTTTTTCATGAATTTCAATCAATTATGATGAGAAAGAAATTGAAAAAAAACGATGAAATTTTGTTGTTTTTTGAATTGTTTTTAATTATAAGCGATTCTTAATCGATTTTAGTCTGGTTAAAATTGATTTTCGAAAAAAAAACAGCAAAACTCGATTACAAGTATCAAATTCCGATTGAATTTCACTTAAAATTTAATTATAAGTGATTTTATGTAGTGAAAATCGTTTATTTCGATTTCTTAAAAAAATTAATTTTACACAATTTTTTTCGAAAATCAATCTGAATCAGGTTTTTAGCTTATTTTTTCTACATGGGAGAGTTCGAAGAAATTTATTCTCAATTAGGTTCGACTGAACCTATAAATGGAATTGAATTCAAATGAAGTTACCCGATTTTGAATTGATTGAAATAGCAATGTACTAGAGAGGTTTAATATAAGATATTGTATTAATTGATTTGTACAGAAAATTACTACTATATACCTATAATCCATGTAGATAGAAATATATGTCGGTTCATTAGTGGCATAAAAGTATAAGCTTGAAAGATACAGTATGTAGACGATCAAGGAAACAAAAAATCTAATAACATGACGATAATTAAAAAGCAAAATATACAGATACAGGCATGATTCAGGCATCTCTAAGTAAGAATTTAACAAAACTTTAGAAGAAATGATACGTATCTCTTTATTTTGCTAAGATTATATTTCGTTAATTGACTCCAGTGTTAACATTAAGAGACCATCCATTAATTCAATAAAAGTGTATATTATAATTGCGTCAAATATTAATAAAGAAGGCCGCTTATAAGGTGGAAAATGTTTTGCTATGTGCTAGTGTTCATGGAAATTTGAATAAAAACTAGGATCCAAGTAAACATAAATGTAAACCATCGAGTCTATTTTAACAGCAAACCTGTGAATCTTTCAAGACAACTAAATATAAAGTGTCACCTTCCTCTTAATTATGTTAAAACATGATTTAAAATAAAAAACAAAGAAAGATCTTTCATTTGGTGTGATAAAGTTCTGTAGTCATTGAGAAAAACGAATCCAATTAAGGCAAGAATATTGTTCAATGCCATTTGTTCGTAAGGTACTACGTGGAAGTTTTTGAACCAGTTTACCTTTTCTTCTCATTGATAACGATATGAGGCATGGTGACTTATATGAACAACGTTGGTATTAGTAATGCGAACAGTTATAAAAGTTTCTCTCAATCTTCTATCTCAAAAGAAGTAACAGTTTGTTAATCAATATATCAGAGAAACTGTTTCGTCAGCAGTGGAATACTATATATGCATCACACTAATCTTCTTCTGGCTCAATCAAATCTTGCAATCGTTCGGCCTAGTTTACTTTGAAAAAGAAATTCAACAGCTTCCAAATTACTCATCAACATTTTTCAACGAGCAGTAAACTTTAAAATAATAGTCAAGTCAGAATTAAAGTTGAATATTAATATCATACGTTTTTCGAATGCAAACAAACAAACTGTCACCAACATTGTGGAATACTGGTGACATCTCGATAACTAAATTTCAATCATAAGAAATAATTACCAAGGATTAACATACATAGTATATCTTTTAAGTAAACTGAAATACACAAAAAGACTTAAAAACAAGGAAACTTCAATGTCTTCCATCTTCTAGTTTAAAAAAGCCAATATGCCAAAATGAAAATCAAGATAAGATACTTAATTGTCATTTTCAAATAAAAACACGTGAAAAAAAGCAAATCAAACATTCAACCCGAAAGTTCAATTATCCATTAGACCATCTTTCAAATCAATATTTACAATTTTGTTCGTTGTTTATTTCGCTTCATCAATTCGTCCAAACGAGCTCCAAGTTTGTCTTCGATTTGATTGTTGTAGAGATATAGTATCGTGAGGGTGTAGGTGAAAAAATGTAGATGAATATATAAGAAAGATGAAGAGAGAATGGGGCTCACGGTTTTATTTCGTAATGAATCAGCCAGATGTTGTGCTTCTTCATCTCCAATTTGATTGTAGCCGAGATGTAGTGTTGTGAGTATCTGTTTGAAAAAGTGCAGATGGGTATATGAGAGAAATGAAGAGAGAATGTGATATTCATGGTATTATTCCGTATCACATCAGCCAGGTGTTTCACCCTGAGAGCACCAATTTTATTGTTGTAGAGATGTAGTCCGGTGAGTACCTGGGTGGAAAATGCAGTTAGGTATATAAGAGAGTTGAAGAGAGAATGAAGAACACCATGTTATTTCTCAATGCATCAGGCAGATGTTGTGTTCCAAGATCTCCGATTTGATTGTATTCGAGATCTAGTGTGGTCAGAGGTGCAGGATCTGCCGCAAAAATGAAAAATTTATCCACACAGCAAAAGTTTTTCGGAAGATTTCCCCACCGAAAAAGAAGAGAAAAGAGTGTCTTTGTTTGAGGATGCATATTCATAAAAACAGAACATCATATTATATCCCGTCGTAAAATAATCTACTATTATCAAAGTTGATGCTATTTTGCCTTTACATGGATACCTGTTAATAATTTAAACCAAAAACGGTAACGTATAAAAAGAGTGAAGGACAAGAAACAGTGCTGAAAGGAAAATGGGGCAGGACAAGAAAGAGGCATTCAGGCACAAATGATGTGCGTGCAAATGAGACAAAGACGTAGGTTTACAAATTAATAGACAAAGAAAGAACAAATAAACTAGAGAAATCATTCATCGAGTTAATGATCTCTCCGTAGAGGAAAACATTCTTCGAAAAGTTTTCCGATTTCGACATTTTCAAAAATTTCCCTAGGGTCAAAAAAATTTTCTCAAACGTGCGTTCTGGTACACGGATAGATTCTGTACCTCTGCCCACACCCCACCCTTTTCTAACTTGGTGTGCTTCTTTTGTTAAAAAATAATCCCATATGGAATAGTTACATCTTATAACTCACCGATCGGCTAAAAGGAATCACAAAACATTGACAGAAGTACTTTTATTGATGACAAATAATTTTCAAAGAATTCGAAGTAATGTTATTGATAAAGTGTAAGTCTTATAATGCAACATTACCCAAATTTTACTGAACTTCTAAGCAAATGTGCATAATCAATGTGAAAAAAAAATTAACATTGCAGTTTGGATGCATGAAAGGGTTGTTTTATCTTCAAAAAATAAAACGAAATAAAAGCAAAACATTCATCGTTCTTCTATAGAAATTTTCACCATCACGATCCAGTGTTTTTGATTTATTATCGTTCAAAATAAAGACAAGTGTAATGAAAACCAATCACTGGAGTCCCTCTGCTCAAGAACTTGATCTAGCATCCGCCACATCTGTTTTAAACATAGCTGTGATATTCGAAGTTTTTCTCTTTATCCAATGAAGATTTCTATTGGCAACTAAGACTTTGTGAATATTAACCTTTTTTGGCAACGACGAGCGAACTACTTCAAATTAGCATCATTCTAGCAGGAAAAAGTCGTGTCTATATCTTAGCAATTCCCACTGACGTGAAAAGGTCTCAAATATACCATTTGATGCACTTAATTTCGCTTCACAAAATCTACTATACCACACGATGCTCTAGGTTATTCAAGACAAGAATGTGTAATTGTCTAGATGCACCAGACTAAGGTACAGGTATCCATGGTTAGAACACATTTGAATCCTAGCTATTTTGAAAAAATACAGACCATATAACTTCATTCATTTTCACGTTCCCATAATACAACTGAAACTTATGATAAAAATACACTTTGAATAGAACATTGAAAAAATATGATTGTTATACTGTTAGAATAAAATCATAAAGCTCTACAAAGTCACATATGAATAAAGTCGTTTGGAGAATTTATTGTATGATGTGTTTCAAGTATCATGAAGATATTCAGATTTGACTGGTGATCCGCTGTTGTCGATGACACATCGAACACTTCGTACTCTTTCGATACTCGTCGTAACTGCCGATTGACCTAAGTTCATCCTAGTATAAATAATCATCAGTACAATTCAGTCACTACTTACTTCGGCTTCTAGCTGATCGACAATGCTGACGAATGTTGTTGACGTCTGTGCCGAGGGTATAGTACAGATATCGCTCATTAAGTCGTCGACTAGGTGGCGATGGGCTATTGAAATTTCCATCATTCGTAAAAGCCTGCCAATCGGTCAATTGTCGTGCGGAGCTTCTCACCCAATTATTGGCCATCGTTGTATTCTGTACAGCAACGCTGCAAACAATCGTGTGTTGTTCTGTTTTGTTTTTTGTCCTATTCGTCGTCCGTTTAGCTGCTCTTTCTTGATAATTGCATTTGAATAAATGTACTTATATGTAGAAGAGAATTTTTTGTTGAGCAAGAACAACAAAAACAAACATCAACAGCTCATTAAATCTCATATGCATAATCGATGCGATGTCTGGCAACAAAGCTAATCAAAAGAAAGTTGCCGATGAAGGCGTCGATGTTTACCGTCGCTTCAGATAACTGAAAATTATATTCATGTTGATCAAGTAAAAGATGGAATTTCATGCTAGTTCACTTAGTAACCAACCAATAGTCAAGTGGTAAGAATGACTAGTCCACAGACACGATTTTTGACATTCACTATTTTCTTTTGTGATAAAAAAATCGTAAAATATTCGCACAAATTGATGATTTACAGTGAGATTTACTAGGAACGCAGGATAGAGCGCAAATAAATTTATAACTGAGAATCAATATCTTGATAATGGAACATAGACAAAAAGACGAAAGAAAAGAAACACTCTAACTAATGATGAAAGCACAAAGATTTTGAAGAATGATAACCGATCTAGTGAACCACATCCAACAAAGTACAGTCCGTAAGATACATATAAAAATGAGTGGAATACTATAAAGAGAATGATGAGAAGCTATGACAGTTACCAATAATAGCTGGCGACGATTGTCTCAAGTTTTATTTAACATTAATCTTTTCATTCAGTTATGAAAAATCAGTTCTAGATATATTAGTGAAACCGTCGTAGATTTATGATTTTGTTGATAATTGTTCCAACTAGTTCGTTCAATGTATGTCACAGTTCCAGCGTTCTTCATTTCTTTAGACACAAGAGAAAATGGCCCTGTAGAAGTAGTTCCAACGATAAACCTAATAAGTTTATCGGGTTTCTTCTTATTGTCAATGAAAAGATCGTTTGACCACTATATTGCTAGACATTAGAATATAATTTGGTGCAAGCCAAACGATAGTAGATTGGATGAATGACACATGAAACGTGAAAAAGGCATCCGTAATGACTTTGACAGACTTTTTTGATACAAAACTTTGAATCAATTCATGGTTTCCTCCAACATTGAACAATGATGCTCGATTATCAAATAGATGCGTTCGCACAACGTCATTCGATTGATGACTGTGACAATGTTGCAATGATTCGACTAAGTTTGGATTCAGCTAATATTGTAGTTGTTTTACATGACGACTATGGATATAAAGATTCGTATGACGGTTTTCCTTGAAAAAGCAAAATTTAAAAGAAATGGAGATTTTCTTTTCGTACAAAAATAGTTGTTCACGAGAAGTTTCATTGGTTTCACATCATACAAAGATTAAAAAGATTTTTTTTCAACCAGATATGAGCTTACCAGCGCTTTATCTGAATTGTCCCAAGTCAACGATAGTCTCTGGTCATATTTCATAGGTCAATATCACTATAAAGGACTCATTTAATACATATATCGTAAATGTGCTTACCTCAATCGATTCATACTATCGGCTCTCGATATTAGATAGAAAAAACAAAGAGAATCGTAGCTATTGATTTAAGTTCTAGGGTGATAACTCTTCAAGTTGAGAAAAACCAGGATTTCATCTTCTATCGAATAGCAACTATGACGTTTTTACCAACAAGTAACGTTCATCGTCAAGCGATTCACTTAGCCCTAGACTGATAGAATACATGTACGGATGTAATAACATAAAAAGCTACATTAAAAAAGTAATACGCAAAATTGATAATATTACCAGTATATCTTAGGCGACCAGAAAACCTAATTTGGAGAATTCTCACTCTAAGTAAAGATGATGCATTTACAAATTTAATTTTTTTTATCGTTTTTGTTTTATTTTTTTTGCTTTTATAAATATAAATAGCGCCCAATAAGATTAGACAACAATACGATTTTTTTATTATTATATTGGCGCTATTTGTACGTATAAAAATATGAATTACATTATCCATAAAATTTGAGCTTTATTAATCAATATTTTATGCATAAAGTCGCGCATTAATCCTAAACTATTAATAAATTAGATATTCATTGATACAACATTGCACAATCAATCCTACATAATGAATAATTTAAACAATTTCTTTAAATCCATACTGCTCATTTGGTCTGACTCTCACCAATTAAATGCTTTTGTAAGCCGTTTTACACGACTACCCGAATTATAGTTATTCCATTAACATTTTACCCATGATTATTATGGGTTCATTTACATCAGTCTTTAGATGGTCATTTGTACCATAGTTACCGGAATAGTTGTTTGTACCATGGTTGCTATATGGTCACCTGTGCCATAGTTACGTGGCCGTTTGTACGAAAAAAATGACTGTTTGTGCCATAGTTACATGCTCATTTGTACCATAGTTACCTAGTTAATTTTAGTAAAAAAATGGCCGTTTGTGCCAAAAAAATGGTCACTTGTGCCAAAAAAATGGTCGTTTATGCCAAAAAGATGGTCACTTATGCCAAAAAAAATGGTTGTTTATGCCATAAAAATGGTCGTTTATGCCAAAAAAATGGCCATTTTGACCGCGTTACCGACAGACAGACACAGGTGAATTTCGGTTTCTAGACCCTAGCCTTTCAGTCTAGGGAATACGAAGAAACTTTGGCTAGTCCTGGCGTTGGAAGAGAATATGTCAACATTGAATTGTTTCACATTAGTTTTCGACTTGCCTAGATACAATGAGGTACCTCATATAAAACCATGCCTGCTAGGTACAAATTTTGTATCCATTAACATAATTGCTCGTATAGTGCATGTAATGAACCACATAGTATTACAAATCATGAAAAGTTTTCTGTTCAAATCAATTTTTTGTGTATATCTGTAGAGTACTATTGTCTTATCATGATATTCTTTAGACCAGCGGTGTTCAAATTTTCATCTTATATTATCCAATTTCAGAAAATACTCCTACAGAAATAATATACGAATTGGAAAGTTTGCAAATCACCGGAATTACCTTCACAAGGATGAAAACGAACCGTTTCGAAAAACATCCTTTTCGAGGAAATTCCAGTAATTTTCGAAATTTCCGTGCAAATGTTGTATGAATACATACGTATATTCATACAAGAAAAAGAAGGTCATACTCCAATGAATAAGTGAAAACTGATAGGAAATTTTCTGGTAACTTCCAAAATCTCCACTTATTCATGGAGTAGGGTCTTCTTTTCGCCATAGCAATATGCAGAGAGTATATTGAAGAAGTTTTCGGATATTACCAACATTTCCGGTAATTTTCCGTAAGTTGTTGGCTGTTGTTTTTGATGGATTACTTTGCCACGATGGAAATTTCCACTGTTGAGAGAATTTACTTTTATGGAAGCCTGAACATATTTCAAACGTACGCATCGAATAGCTCTATCACATTTTTGTAGAAAATATTCTATTCAATGAACAATAGTTTTTAACAAAATCCATGATAAGCTAATTATTCGAAGCGATGAACGAGCTGAAGTAAACTAAAAATATTTATATATGTTGGCGAACTTTTCGTTTCAAATTAGGCGCCAATGCATAAATTTGATTGATGAAAGCTCGATTTCGGTAATTATGATAAGAATCATAAGGATTATGCACTATAGTTTTGCGTATCGGTTGAGAATATTCATGACGAAGGGAAATGTCTTCAACAGACCATAGTCCTTCATCTGCAGCAAACAGATTTGGGTCTAACAAATATTGATATGGAATGAAAAAGTCACCTTTAAGTCCTTAAAATAAATCTGATATTATTCGAAAAGAAACAGGTTTTCTATGTGTTCTTACCCAATCTGATCCCCAAGAGTTTCGTACAAGAAAATGTTCTGTTTGATCATTATAGCCAACAATAAGTACAGCATGTCCTAATTTTGCACGTCTTACTCGTGGATCTGCTCGGTTCGGCATTAATATATAGCCATGGTTTTCTTCTGCCTCTTCTTTCGCTGATTCTAATAATATAATACTGACAACAAAAGGTATTTTTTTGGCTAGAGTAGTTTTCATAGCTATCAATGTTGGCTGAAGTTTGAATATAGTTACAGCAAATTGACTGGTTCTGATATAAGCTTCATTTGAAGGTCTTTTATTGAGTTTTCTCCGATCATATTTCCATACTGATTCTTCGCATATGCCATATCTTCTTAGTGCTATAGCAGTGTATTTTACAGAAGAACCAACATCTTAAGTTACTAGTGAAGGTGATTCAATCAGTGGACCATTGTAGTTAATGAATAAGCGATATCCATCAACATGATGACCAATAGATCTCTTGATAAAATAGCTGATAAACTCGCCTATGTTTCTAACTATAAATTGCAAATCAGAAAGCCTTATGAAAAGATATAAGAAAAATAAATACATGCAGCTTTGATGCGCATCGCTTGCTTCTGAAGGAAGAGACAGAAAATCAAAAGGCTAAAACAGTCAATATGAGTCAAAAAATGCATTTATGATAATTGAAGTGATAGTGTAATAGGTTGATTCTTATTTTTTTTCGCCACTTTCTGATCAGTTGGCTATAGCCAAGGAGCCAATGATACAACGCATACGTGTGATTCGGCGACAAAAAAGCACATGGGCTTGTGAATAATATTTCCTTGATACTTGATTATTCTTCGATGACTGCTCCTAAACGATGATAAGGTCACTGTGGTATGGACATCATCAGAACCAATTAAAAGTGCCCGTTTTACGAAAGTGCTCATTATTAGAGAGTTTTCAATTTCTTTTGTTTTGGAACTTATAAGTATTCGATTCTAATCACTTCTCATTTGTACTAAGTAATTTTTTTTCTTCGTTTTAACAACTCACTATTTCAACATATTTAATCAGGCGTGAATCACCACCTGTTGGCATAATTTCATGTAACCGCTCATGAACATAAACACGACAACAACCTATACCAAGGACTGTTGCTATTGTCCGATATTAATGTTTTTTTTCCCTTGCAAGTTTGTATGGTAAGTGTACTCACTTTTTAAATGTGTTACATGATATTTATCATATCGCAACATATAGCATCGCCTTTTTTCTCAGCCTGTATATATGTAATAGAAAACATGTTACACAACGTAGAGGTTGTTCTTTCTCACACTACTATGAATATCGAACCACTGTTCCGAACAAGAAACTGTTCACATTTGCAAGGTTCAAGCCTAGAAAAATTCGAGACATACCCGAGTGTGGGTGTGATGTGACAGAAGATAAACTCCACACAGCCACATCTGCAATGACGTACGAACAGATACATGCCCGCACTCACATAACCACACTAGTATGCATACAACTACACACTCATATCGGCATCTATACTTCCACACCGATGTGCTATCTCTAAATTCAATGGTTAATCTCATTAATTATTCAGATGAATACAATTAACAGAGAAAAGAAATGCTTCTATGGACATCAGATGGCATAAGCAACTGTTTGGAAAATGTGACATAACAGTCAAAATCGAAAAAAATAGAGATTCGTGCAAGACAAACTAATAAGAAAGTCTTTATTCGAGTTCGATTCAATTTAAACTAGACTATTATTGAAAGGAACGAAATTTTCATTTCTGTATATTGACTATTTATACCTTAATGTTCTGAATAAGATATATTTCAAGTAGAATGTGGGCAATAAAGAAATTTTATTTGATCTTATAAATTAGAAGGAATTTTCATTCTTTTCAATCCCCATGTTCTTGAAACCGCTAAAAGGTTGGTAATTAATCGTAACATGATGAAACGATATATGTGAGTTGAAACGTGATAAATCGTCGATTCTATGCTTAATCATGATAGAGAGATTCCAATTGAAAATTACTTCAGCTGAAAACATATCTGATAGTGTCTATATTATCAAAAATATTTCTTGAAATAAATGAAGAAATAAAATCATTCTCTTGGTTTCAAATCCTTATGATTATAGTTTTAAAATGTGTACAAATTATATGAGACAATCTAAATGACATATCTTGAAATATTTCTCTAATTAATTGACAATGTGCAACCAAGTTACTGAATTCAAAGATTAAATAGAATCTATCACTTAGACTAATTGTTGATTTTCAAAAACTTGTTTCTAGTGCCATAATTATGAAAAAAGTCTAATTTAACCACTAATTTTTTTCAAGAAGTTCGATGGATCAACATTTTATATCAAATTTTTTGAAAATG